ATGGTGTTGACTTGCTTTTGACTCACAGGGACCCTGCATAGAGTCTCCAATGAGTGCCTGGGGGATCTGAACTGCTGATCTTCAGGTTAGCAGTCCAGTGCTGATCCCACAGCACCACTCAGGACCCCCAGTCCGCCCACCACCGTCCCAAGCAGGGTATTTTTGTTGTCATTGAGTGCTGTGGAGTCGGTTCCAACTTATAGCGACCCTGCCTAGAGTTTCCGAGAAGGGACTGGTGAGTTTGATCCACCGACCTTTCAGTTCAAATAGACTTTTCAGTCCTGTGCTTACCCTACAGCACCACACCAGTGTATTGTTGTTATTGTTAAGTGCCATTGTGTTAGTTCTGACTCATAGCAACCCTGTATAAGGTTTCCAAAGAACAGCTGGTGAGTTTGATTTGCCTACCTTATGGTTCAAACCAACTTTCGGTCTAGTGCCATCGAGTCGGTTCCAACTCATAGCAACCCTGTATCGGGTTTCCAAGGAGCAGCTGGTGGGTTTGAACTGCTGAACTTGTGGTTTGCAGTCCAGTGCTGATCCTACAGCGCCACAGCAGAAGTCCACACCAAGGTATGTTGTTGTTATGGTGCCAACTCATAGCGACCTTGTACAGAGTTTCTGAGGCTGTAAATCTTTACGGGAGCAGAAAGCCTCATCTTTCTCCCATGGAACAGCTGGTAGTTTTGAATTGCTGTCCCTGAGGTTCGCAGTCCGATTCATAACCACTACGCTACCAGAGTTCCTTACACCAAGATATAGAGGAGGCCAAACTGCAGATCTGCTTCTTGCCCGGGTTGTTTACTTAAAATGATCTATGGAGTGTAGACTAATGATGCTGTTTAGAAGGTGAACATCTTTTGTCCCAATGCAAACCACAGACAAACTTCATCATGGGTGTGTGTGTATGGTCTTTGACTAACTTTTTTTTTTTAATGTTTTATTGTGAATTATGTGATAGTTTATATGGGAGAACGTTAGTTTTATATTTATCCTATCATATATCGTTTCATTGTCATGGTTACAATCCCCTCCATGCATCATCAACCAACCAAAGGGTACAACTTACAAGCTTAACCCACCCCTTTCGCCCTCCCCTTCCCCACCCCAGTCCCACACTATCCCTCTCCCTGTCTGGGTCTAAAGTTCCCAGCTGCTCCATCTCTACATGTCTTTGATTAACTTTCGAAGCTGTGAGGTTTCATATTTTATCCTTAGTCTTTGGCACAGCACATGCTGGTGTTTGGACTTCTAGATGTTTTTTAAAGGTATAGTGTGATGGATTGATTTAAATGACCTTTCTCGCCATAGTCTTTGTGGTTTGCAGTCCAGTGCTGATCCTATGCAAATAAGGTGTATAAAACCCTAATGAGGATTGGTGAGTTTTGCTATCTTGCTAGGCTTAAAATGAGCCATCCCAGAGGTGAATGGGGAGCACTTCACTCCCACCAAGAAAGAAGAACTAGGAGCGGCGAGCATCTTTTGACCCCTGGAGCCCTGCACTGAGTACCCTTTAGACCCAGGAGACAGAGAGTGAGCTATAACGTGTAACCATTACATTGTAATGAATTATCAAACCCAGCAGAGGAGTAGCAAGTAGGAAGGAAAGCCGGTGTCAGAACTGGTAAAAAGATTGGAGAGAGGAGGTATGTTTGACCTCTACTTCATTCGTTGTTGTTAGGTCTGGCCGAATTGGCTCTGACTCTCTGTATAGGGTTTCCAAGGAGCAACTGGTGAATTTGAACTGCCAACCTTGTGGTTCAAACCAACCTTGCGGTCCAGTGCTTTAGCCCACAGCACCACACCAGGAATTAGTTTGGGGCTGATGGTGATTTTTCTCTCCTCCTGCAAAGTCAGATGAGGTCAAGACACTTTCATCACAGGTGTTTATTGCCATTTTGTAAAGACAGCCTTTCAGTGTCTCCAAGCAAAAATGAAAAACTGTGTACATTAATTACATCTTGGAGTCCTGTGTGGTGCTGCGGGTTAATGTGCTGGACTGCAGGGTCAGCACGTAACAACAACACATCACATCTTAATCATGGGTCTGCATTTTTTTGTACTTGCTGTGTGATAAGCTAACAAGGTGATGGAAGTGCTTTGAAAAGGTTGTATTTTCCTTTTATTTCAGAAAGGCCCTCCTGTATTTAGTGCAGGAGGATGTGCTAGGACAGACCAGGGGTTTTCACCACAGGGTGGGTGGACTTGGTAACTAGCATTCAATTTGGCTGGCTGTGCCGATTGTTTCATTTCCTTATTTCCTGTGTTAGACTGACTTGTAACTTGCTCTCTGGAGTTTTCTAGGGACTTGTGTGCCGTAAGAACTCCCTTGACATTGTTTTGAGAATGCAGTGACCTCATTTGGAGCTAGGACTCTGCCAGTCTTACAAAGCCCTCCTCTGGGACCAAGACTCACACCCACAATTGAAACATGGTTATTCTCTCTTCGTAGATTTAGAAGCTTTCCATGATCTAGAATTAAGACAAGTGCTCTTTTGTATCTCGTCTGTCATCTTTCTGGGTACAACTTCCTTGTTTAAATTGAGGACCAACCTCTAATTTCTTAATGGGAGCAGTGGAAATCCAAGTCCCAGCTTCCACCTTGAAGATGTGATTTAAACAAAACAGAAGAACAGATGTGGTGGACTGGAATCCAATTTACTGTTGATACCATGTGTATCCGAGGAGAACTGTGCTCCATATGACTGGTTTTCCACAAGTAGGTCACCAGATCTTCCTTCTAAAGTGTCTCTGGGTAGATGCAAGCCTCCAACTCTTGAGTCAACCCAGTTGGTGTTGTATCAGCTAGGGACTCCAAAAGTGTGATAAACCAAATCACACCCACTGCTGTGGATTCCGACTCATAGTGATCCTGCATAGGGTTTGTTGTTGTTGTTATGTGTCGTGGAGTTGGTTCTGTGTCATAGCGACCCTGTACAGGGTTTCCGAGGCTGCAAATCTTTATGGGAGCAGAAAGCCTCATCTTTCTCCCAGCGAGTGGCTGGTGGATTTGAACTGCTGACTTTGTGGTTAACAGTCCAGTGCTATCCTACAGCATAGTGTAAAATAAACAATATTGAAAAGTATTTATGTAAATAATATCCAACACTCTTCCAGGCTCTAGTATTTTCTTTTCCCAGAAAAAGTCAAGGGAAGAAATAATGTTTGGTTTGTGCACGTTGGTTTTTTTCATCTGCTTCTATCCTGCAGGATGGAGCGCTGGTGATGTAATGGGTTACATGTTGGGCTGTTTGTTAACCACAGGGTCAGTAGTATAAATCCACCAGTCTCTCCTCAGGAAAGAGAGGTCGCTTTCTGCTCTCATAATGATTTACAGCCTTGGAAACGCTATGTCGGTTTGCTATGAGTTGGAATCGACTTGACCACACAGAACCACCACCACAAACAGCACTGGGACTATAAATGACTCAGTGATATGGAACTGTGTTGAAAAGACAGTGCTCATTTTTATGTAAGCTCTATCTTGCCAGAGATATTCTCTAGGGATCCATCAACAACAACAACAACAACAAAAGTTTTCTACTTTTACAATAAGTGAAGGTCCTGCCTATAGTTTATGACCCTACCACATCCAGAATAGGCCATCAACAGGCTGGGATTCCCTGAACTAACCCACAACCAAACCCACAGCCAAGGACTCAATTCAGACCCAGAGATATGCTAGAGGACAGAGCAGAACCGTTAAAGGGTCAGGGGAAAAGGCTCCCCACAGCAGACAACGGGCTTACAACAGTGGTTCTGTGGGTGGGAAGGATGAAAACATGAAAGGCAATCATAAAAGTTAGAGAAGGGGCAGAATTGGGACTGGGAGGTAGTAAACGGAGAGAGAGAAAAAAATTAGCCGAAGGGGACGCTCAGAATAGGAGATGACAAAAGAAAAGTTCCAGTTAGTGAAGATACTGTGAAAGAAAGGGTGGAAGGGGCCGATGACAAGGGAACGGCTTGGAAAAATAGTAATTAGTACAGCTAAAAATAAAGACCAATTTAGAGACAAAGCCAGACAGACACATAAGGAGAAACAGAAGACTCGCCAGAAAGACAATCCCTCGCAAACCAAATGCACAGGGAGATGAGTCTCTTGACACTGAGTCTGGGGATGGTATGTTCAAAGAAGGAACTAAGAGAGTGTGGAGCGCGCGCTGGCAGCGGGAGGGGACACGAGTGAATCTGAGTGCAAGGTGCTGGGGGCGCTGCAACCACATGCCCCCAAAGTTAGAAAACTGCCGGGGATGGGTCAGTGTGTGGTCCGCGCTGGGACCGTGGGCTTCCTTCAGGTCCAGGGAAGAGGGCGCCCAAGGCCCGGCGTCCACCCTCGTTTTGTAATGGTCCGCGGGCAAGGTCATGTCCACCAAGTTCGGGCACGGGCTGGGGCGCGCGGGGTTCTGACTGCCGAGGGCCGAGCACCCGGCTGCAAAACGGAGGAGGCCGAGGGTCCGGGCCGCGGAAGGGCTTTGCAGAAACGCCAGGCATCTCAGAACGCTCGCTTCCCGTTAGGGAACCGGGAGGCTACCATGCTGGTGCCCTGACGGACCCCCGCCCACGCCCTGTATCTCCTAGGCTTCAGGAAGCGGGAGGAGACCGGGGCGGGGCCCAGGGCGGCATCTCCCGGGAGCCCGCGGAGCAGCGAGGGGCCCGGGGACGCGCCAGACCTCCGATCGGGCTCCCCGAGGCGAATGCGCCCCAGCGTGGACGCGAGCCGGCTCCAGACGGCGGGCGCCCTCGGGCCAGTGTGGCCTGAAGCCCCCAGATCGGCACCGCGGACCCCAGTGCTGGCGGGCAGGGCGCATCGAGCGCGCCACGCGGCGGCGGTGAGGAGGCGGGCGGGCGCGGGGCGGGGCCGCACGTGGCTCCTCCCTCCTTCTCTCTTCTTCCTCCCCTCGCGCCCTCCTCCTCCTCCTCCAGCTCCTCCTCGCCCTCCTGCTACTTCTCGCCGTTCTCGGACTTGGCCGCGCCGCCCGCAGTTGAATTCCCCGGGCCGCCCGCGGCGATGTTCAACCGCGCCGTGAGCCGGCTGAGCAGGAAGAGGCCGCCGTCAGGTAAGCGGCCCAGGGCCCGAGGGCGGGGGTCGGGCACTCGGAGAAGCATCCTGTCCCCCAGCTCGGGTTCGGGCGCGGCTCGGAGGAGCGCCCTGATCGGAGCCCAGCCTCCCGCGCCCCTTCTCCCGCGCCCCCGCCTGCCGTCCGGGTCTGGAGCGCAGAGCCAGAGGGGCGCCCTGGAGGAAGTTTGGCTCAAAGAGGAACCACAGCAGTTTTCTTTTCAGTGAGTGTGTGGGAGCAAAAGGAAATCCAGAAACACCCCCAGACTTTAGAGGTAGTGCGGCACCTAGATTTCGAAAGCAGAGCTCCGGCGGACCCCCTCTGGAGTTTCGCGGCCGGAGCGCGCCCCAAGGAGGCGGGCTGGACCCGGGCATCGGATGAACAGCCTGGCTCGGGCGCTGGGAGCCTGCCATTCTGCATGCGGAGCCCAACCGAATGTGGGTGAACCCCAGGAGGAAGAGGGGCCACGACGGTGGTTTATGCCAGGGAAGCATCCGTAGTACAAAAAAACCGTTTGGCTGGCACGTCTGGACCAGACGGAACTATAATTCGGGCAACTTGATAAGAACCCCCGTGAAGACTGCATGCCCTCGATTCCTGCTCTCTTAGCCTTTTAGAGCGTAATGTATGCTACGGGCTGTGTCGGCGCGCGTTAGGACTCTCCGGAGACAGTCAACCGTAATACAGCTCTCCATTGAGAGGAAAAGCCCAGAGCCAGAGCCGCTGGGTAACTTGCCCCAAATCATACTTCTAGGTGATGCAGTGTGAGTCTTTCAAACCCAGTATTGCTTGATTCTTGAGAGGTTTTACTGCTGTCTTCCAATCCAAGATCCACTTCTGTATACTGGCCTGTTTTCTCTTTTCACTTAACATCACGTTTCATGACAGGCAGTGTGGTTAGAGTATGAACTGGGAACCACACTGTGTGGGTCTGAGTGTAACTTCGCTCTCTCTGCAGCTAAGGATCTGCAACAAGGGACTAAGAATAACTACCCTTCTTGAAAGGAGCTCTGGTAGTGTAGTGGTTACGAATCCAGCTGCGAACTGCAAGGTTAGCAGTTCAAAACTACCAGCTGTTCAGTGGGAGAAAGATGAGGCTTTCTGCTCCGGTAAAGATTTACAGCCTCGGAAATCCTGTACAGGGTCGCTATGAGTCGGAACCGACTCCACGGCACATGACCACCCCCCCCAACCTCCTTGAAGCACTTAGAACCACTTAATTGAAGTGGTCTCTCAACCATCAGGTTATGTAAACCATTGTGTGGTGATGCTTGTGTGCCATGGGGGTCGATTCTGACTCTTAGCCACCCTGCATAGGGTTTCTAAGGGAGCAGAAAGCTTCATCTTTCTCCCCTGGAACTGCTGGTAGTTTCAAACTGCTGACCTTGAGGTTAGCAGCCCCACTCATAACCACTGTGCTGCCAGAGTTCCTTGTGTAATAATTTAGGACAACCCTAATAAAGTATAGACTTTCTAGCGTTATTGACAAGAGCTTATAATGCTGCTCTGTAGTTATAGAAGTGTGTTGATTTGATTCCAATAATTTCCTTTAAAGTGCTCATGATTCACAGACACAGGGCAGTGGTCAGAGTAAAACTACTTCTAAACTTGACTCTCTCATTGCCCAGTCCAGCAACCTTGGACAAGTGACTTGTCCCCTCTGTGTCTCTATTTCAGTGGTGGCTGTGGCTGGTTGTTAAACCTCAAAACCATTGCCATTCGTTGAGTTGATCGCAATGCGTTACTGAGCAAAACTGTTCTTTAGAGTTTTCTCGTGTTCCTTAGAGATCACTGGGCCTTTTTCCACATCACCACTGGGCGACTTTAAACTGTCATCTTTTAGATTAGTATGATTGTATGCTGTTGAGTTGATTGATTGGAATCCTGATGTGGTGCGGTAGGATAATCATTGGACTCCTAACCTTAAGGGCAGCAGTTCAAACCCACCAGCTGCTTCTTAGAAACCCTATACAGGGTAGCTTTGAGACAGAACTGACTCGTTGGTGCTTAACAACAACACTGGAGTTGATTCTAACTCTTATCAATCCTGTAAGACGAGTACAACTGCCTCTAGGGTGGCACTGTGGGCTAGTGGGCTGGACCACAAAGTTGGCGGTTCAAACCCTATGCAGTGTTGCTATGAGTTGAAACTTACTTGATGGCAAGTAACAGCAACAACTTTTACAGGGGTGGATCACCAGGCCTTTTCTTCCTTGCAGCTGCTGGTGGATTCGAACTGCTGATCTTTTGGTTAGCAGCTGAGCACTTAACCATTAAGCCACTAGGCATCTTTTTTTTTAGGTTATTGTTAAATGCCATTGAATCAGTTTCAACTCATAACAACCCTGTATAGAGTTTCCAAGGCACAGCTGGTAAGCTTGAACTGCCAACCTTGCAGTTCAAACGGTTTTGCAGTCAGGCACATTAACCCACAGCTCCACACCAGGACTCTTTAGGTTACTTGTTGTTGTGAAATGCCATCAAGTCGGTTCCGACCCATAGCGACCCTGTATAGGGTTTCCAAGGAGTGGCTGATGAGCTTGAACTGCTGACCTTGCAGTTCAAATGGTTTTGTAGTCTGGCGCATTAACCCACAGCACCATACTAGGACTCCTTTAGGTTGTCAAGTGCCCATCAAGTCAATTCCGACCCATAGCGACCCTGTATAGGGTTTCCAAGGAGCAGCTGGTGAGCTTGAACTGCCAACCTTGCAGTTCAAACAGTTTTACAGTCAGGCACATTAACCCACAGCTCCACACCAGGACTCTTTAGGTTACTTGTTGTTGTGAAATGCCATCAAGTCGGTTCCGACCCATAGCGACCCTGTATAGGGTTTCCAAGGAGCAGCTGGTAAGCTTGAACTGCCAACCTTGCAGTTCAAACAGTTTTACAGTCAGGCACATTAACCCACAGCTCCACACCAGGACTCTTTAGGTTACTTGTTGTTGTGAAATGCCATCAAGTCGGTTCCGACCCATAGCGACCCTGTATAGGGTTTCCAAGGAGTGGCTGATGAGCTTGAACTGCTGACCTTGCAGTTCAAATGGTTTTGTAGTCTGGCGCATTAACCCACAGCACCATACTAGGACTCCTTTAGGTTGTCAAGTGCCCATCAAGTCAATTCCGACCCATAGCGACCCTGTATAGGCTTTCCAAGGAGCAGCTGGTGAGCTTGAATCACTGACCTTGCAGTTCAAACGGCTTTGCAGTCCGGCGCATTAACCCACAGTGCCACACCAGGTTACTTTGTTGTTGTTGTTGTTGTTAAGTGCCATCGAGTCGGGTCCGACCCATAGCGACCCTGTACAGGGTTTCCGAGGCTATAAATCTTTACAGGAGCAGAAAGCCTCATCTTTCTCC